CTCTTTCTCTACAGGACCCAATGTATAATTTAGACACGTCCAATCTAATTTTGAACGTGTTAACTCAGGTGTCTACAGCAGTCTAGTTAAGGGAGCAAGGAGTTAATAAGGAATGTGCTGTCAAAAAATCAAGGTGGATTAAGCAGCAATGAGCTCCATGGTGCTGCAGGTTTATGACTGTCCCTAGTCCAAAAGACAAAAGTTTGGTTCTTTTCACACGGTACAGTATTTTGGGGGCTGTCATATCTTTACATTGTGAGGAACTATGCTTCTTGAATACCACTGAGATAAGTATTCCCTGTTTACACCTGCCTCTTAAGAGATTCTCTAGCCCACTACTCATAGTTGTACACAAGGTAAGAAAGAGGTTCGTGCTCTGTAGTCAGTGTTGTGGGAGGATGGACTATGTTCAAGTACTTTGATTCCAGACTAAATGCCAAGTCTGATTTAGCCTGGCACGTCTTGTGTTAGTGTTTCCAGGGACACATGAACCAGTTCCTTTCAGAAATGTTTTTTAATGAATGAAGTTCTGAATATCCAAGTGACACTTCATTATTCACGTCTACTTTATTTCAGTAGATGTTGTTTCAGTCAGTATCTCCCTAGCTTTTAAGTGAATAACATCATTATACCTTCACTTCTTCAGAGGCTCTCAGGATCAAAGATGTCAACTACACTGTGATTTTCATTAAAAAGGAAAGACAACAGGGAGAGGGCCGGCTCACAAACTGAAAGGATCTTTTAAAACTCTTTGTCTCTTCAGATCATAATAATGGAACAGTAGCTCTCATTGGGTAATAGATGCAGGGTAAGAAGTAGAACAGGGCTGAAATCAAGCAATTTGGTGGTTTTCTTCTTTTGTGCACAGGGAAGGTGCTTTCCAGATCATTACAAATGCTTTGTTGCCCCTGCATTTACTACGTTGTAGGAAACCTGATGGGAAGAATGACCTTGGAATAGGTTTACAGTTCCAGCTGCTGCAAATTTAAGGGAAGGATTGTTGGCTTATAAAGCTATGAGTGAAAAAGAAGCAAAAGTTAATCAATTGCAGGACCAGAAATATGAACAACTTTTTTAGTATTAATGTTTCGTCTCTGCATGACTATGTCAGGGCCCTGAGGGCACCCCCATTTCTGACTATCCTTGCCCAGCCCTCTGTGGCTTCCCCCACACTGCGTACAGCAGGATCCCATGTCAGCCCCCGGGGGCTGTTGGTCTCTGCCCCAGTGATGCTGCAGCAGAGGCACTCTCCAGCTGCCACAGCCCTGCTCAGCTGGGAGTGCCCCAGCCTAGGACCACCATAGGCCTATGTCCCCATGCCCACAGAGTTACCCAGTGCCTGAGGCTGAGACTCTCCTGGCTTTCCTGGTGCCTACCCAGCTGCTCTGTTTTGCCATCTCTCATGAAAAGACCCCAGCCTTTGCAGGGCCCTGACAGTCAGGTTGCTTTTGCTGGAATTCAGCCAGCACCTTTCTGAGGGCTTTTTTCCTGGTGCTTTGTCAGATACGAATACATCTGAGCTGACTAAAAATATTCTTATCTATTATTCAATAATCTCTTCATCTTTCACCTTGCTGCTGGGTTGCTTTGTAAAACTTTAACAATAACCTTATTTGATTGAAATGGAGATAAGGAGTCAGCTCCTAAGTGCAGATTTTTGCTGGAGAATGATTGGTGAAACCCATATGTATTTGGCCTGTCTGCTTGTTTCTGGACCTACTGATCCTACCATAGGTAGTGCCCTAAGAAGTGGATGCTTGTTTATTTCCACAGACATTTCAAATATATAACATAGGACAAACATGTTCTTTAACCTTTATTTAAAAATGTCTACTACAAAAACATTGAGCTCAACCCTAATACCCAGGAATAGCAAATGAGCTATTCACCAATATGAAGCAATGCTCTAAGCAGAGTATTTTCATCACCGTATTTTTTTTATTTGAATGATTTTTTTTCATCAGAATATTTGGTGAACGTATTTGACAATGTTGCCTAAAGAGTTTATGACAGCAACATGTTTGGGGCTGGAAGAGGGGGAGGAAGGGAGGGTTGCTAATGTGAGCAGATATTGCAGACACAACAACCCCCTTTCCCTCTTGTCCTATGTTGCCTACTATGACACAGTTCTGGTTTTGGAAATATGTGGTTTCTATTTTTGCTCCTGAAAAAAAAAGGAATACATTTTTTAACAACAGTGTGATAAAGAACTGTCATTGCTCAGCCAACACATGTGCATGCAGTATGCACAGGTGATGTGAGGATGTCTGTTTCATGAAGACTTGTTCAGCAGTGATAAGGGAATCATATCTCTAACCCAGGCCATGGTAGTATGTGTGCTCTGAAGCACTTGTCCTACCAACCTCAGAAAACTACAGGTACTACAAAGTATCTGAGGGGTTGGCCCAGTACAGGTTGGTGGATATCTGTCACCTCCTGCTGCTTTTGCCACCAATGTGATAGGTGTGATAGCAGTGGCTTTTCCATACTTACTGAAGAATCTCTTTCACTTGAGATATCCCTCCCAGTTTCCATTGTAAGCAGTACTGAAAAATAAACTCTCTATTTTCTCAGGACTTCCTGGAATCATGGTCCCAAGGGAAGGGAGGATTAAAAGCATTTTTTAAAAAAGACTTTTTAATTATAAATGAATTTAAAATATCTTATTAAAGCTCTTTGGCCTTAACTAGACTAAGAAAATATACTGATCTAGCACATAATTTGCATAAACCACAGTCATGTTTAATACTGTCAGAACATGTCACAAATTTCTGTCCTTGTTCATTCCAAGGAAAAAATGATGTTTAACATTGGGATGGTTAGAAAACAATTTTACCTCATGTATTTTAACACTACTTTTTCCCTGTATAGTGTTGAGCATAGTTATTCTAATTTTGTCTTCAGTAACGTGTTTCTAATTTTGTTGTTGTGGCTGTTGTTCCCTAAGGGTATTTGGAAATGAGATTCAGCATTTAAAAAAATGCTTAGCTGTAACAGACTTCTAATACTGAAATAAAGGAAAAGAATATTTCTAACCATAAATCCTGAATACTTTATTATTAATACATGAAAAATTGCTACGGTTTGTTTGGTACCGAGTTTTCCATTCCTGGTGCATGTAACTACTTATTTCTCCTGAGCATATTCTGTGCACAACTGGAAATCTCCATTTAGAAGGGCCATTTGACATGTTTTCCACCAAAGTGTATGTCAGATGTGCGAGAAACCACAGGAAACCTTTTAAAACAAGAGGACTGTGTGGGCAGTGCAGTGTTATGGCTTTATGACCAAGAGGCTGGTTTAGAAATTTTCTTTGGGAGAGAAATAAGTGCGATTTTTCTTTCACTTACTTGGAAAAGTTGGCTTACTCCAGATCTGGAAGGAGGCATGTATGGCTAGGCAGGATTCAGGAAATTTCCAACAATGGCTGTTCTTCACCTGTATGCAAAGGTGATCCATATCTTGCTAAATGTGCCTTCTCAGGAGATGGATTTTTCTCCTGGCTGAGCTCTTCTTCATGCTTCCTTGTCGACAGCAGCTTGTCTGCTCTCCCCTATGTCTCCACAGCATTTTTATTAGAACCATTGAGGACATCTGGAGGTAAAAGGAAAGTCCCAGACCAAGAACTTTAGAGTGGCCAGTGCTCAGCAAATGATGGCCATAGAATCAGCAAAGGTGTCAGTGTGGCCTAAATGTGCAGATTTCTTGATTTACATACCTGTAGATTACTCAAGTAGGATAATGTGTTTTAAAAAGGATTATCTTGCTGGGTCTTGTTTTCCAAATATCAGTCCAGAACAAGTTTTTATAGCTGATATACAATAGCCTGATAGAAATATTTATGGTAGAAATTCTGCCAGCTCTTTAATGCCAGCAACACCCTGGCCACTTAGTCACTGGAGGACTTTGTTTTCAAAATGACTCTTTCTTTTGCAAATGATGATATGTTTAGGGAATATTGCTTGGTGCTGCTGAGAGCAGAGGCTCTGTACTGGTTGGTGGCTAGCCAAGCCCAGAGGTCCTGGGTGCCAGTGTCCCCATGCAGCTCTGCCAGGAACAATAAGAGTGGGCACTCATGCAGCACTTTTCAGGTGGGTTTACAGAGGGTGTGGGACCTGCTTCTCACCAGCTGCACTCAGTGCGGGCTGCAGAGCCCCAGTGGCAGCTCTTCTGTGGCTTGAAGCAGGAATGATCCTGGTGGTACTTGGGACACATGCTGCCTGTCACTCCACAGGTTGCTTGGAGAAAAAGCAGCATATGACCTAAGGCAGGACATGCAGCACACCCCAGCTCAGGTACTCATGCTTGCCATGGCTGGCTACCACATCATGCCTGCTTGGAGACAGGAGACTTCTCTATCAGACTCGATAGGCAACAATATCTTTATTAAGATATTTTTAATGGAAACACACCCATGAAGCATAAAGCTTCCTAAATTCTATTGACTACTCTGTGTGTGACTGGGGGATTTTCTACGTCCTTTTGATCTTGATTTATTTTCCTAGACTTGGAGCACTACTGGTAAAGAATACCAAATATGTAAAATTACATTGTGTGTCTGAGTAGCATTTAGTGTCCTCATGGAAAAAATGTTGACATGGCAAGCTCGTGACAGGGCACTCTGCATTTCTGGAACTGCTGGACAGCCTTTCTGTGGACATGCCTTTAGGAGATGTTCAGAAACAATGGTCTCACATGTTGGTATGGACAGAAGCTATCTAGAATTTGGATGAAAAGGCAAATGTATTTGCTGAGCAATTCTTGGTAACACAACAGCTTGCACAGTAATACATTTGTTATCATTGGCCTGATTTAGCAGCAGGTTATGTTCAGCACATAATGAGTAAAAACCCATGAAAAATAATATTATGATCTAAGACCACTGAGCTTTAGCTAACATGATACATTGCCTGCTTTCAGTTAGGCTCAATTTAATGAAAATTAGTGCCAGTTGTGTTTCATTAGTACACCAAAAAGAGAGCTGTGTTTTTGTTTTCCAGAAAGTTGCTGAATCACACCACTGTGCAGAATATATTCCTCAAATGGCCTTTCTCTAATGATGGGGGGAAAAAAAGCACAAAAGGAAGCAGCAGCAAACCTGTATTAAAAGTCAAACAATGAACCATATTACGAGGAAAAGTAATGGTATCCTTTTATTTTATTGTATTTCTCATGCTGCATTGCCTTGGAATTGAAGGGCATAGTGTGTTCCTTTTCTCTTTTACTGCTGCAGGCTTGTGCTTAACTATTTATATTGCAGTGCTAAGACCTGCTCTTGTTCCCCAGGAGAAACACACTAAAGTATTATTAGACCTAAGTGCATGGGAGGAAAAGCTCTTAGTGCAATTTTTTATGTATAAATATTGCATACTTCATACCCATCCTTAGGTTTTTACCAAAATATAAGTTATATGATACACTTTGATAGCCAGTCTTTCTACAGGAAGAACTCACATGGTAAATAATGCATGTGTGCTTGTCATGTATTGTGTTCTGGTTTTTATTTCTAATTGTTATTTTAAATTTAAGAATTAATGTACTGCTTGGTCAAGCCCTGAACAGGTGTTTTTAGCTGCCAGTCCTTTGGTCTCTGAGTCTGAAACGCGGTTGGTTTAATAACACCCAGTTTCTGTTAAACTTTCTTTTTTTGTCACAGCTCCCTATCTAAAAGAAAAAGATCTTATCCTCTCTTTATTTTTGGACTATAATAAACACAGTAAGGTAGAGGCTTTTGGTACAGATTTGTGTCATTCTCAGCATACACAGGATTGGCCTTCTGGGCTTTACTGCCATACAAATAATTACCAGCTTTCTGAACCTTCGGTATAGGTATACATGGCTTAAAGACTTAAATGTTATTGTGTGTGCTCATGTGAATTCAAATACATGTAATGTTCAGTTTAGTCACAAAGCCTCTACTGGCAATAACTAACTATGACATTTCTGTATATTCTGTCTTCTGAATTGCCTCTGCCTAATGCTGCTTCTCTTGATATGGTTAGCCTTTTTTTTTCAGTTTTTCTTTTTGTTTAACAGGAAATGCCAGGCTTTTCTAACTGCATCTTTTCTTTTCTTCTATTACCGCTCTATTACTTTGGCTCTAGGTGTTGGAAGATGAAATTCTGCTCAACTTCCAGACAAGCAAATTTCCATCCTGCAATGTGCAGAGAAGCTGCTGAGATGCTGGGACAGAGAGACCGGGGAAACACTAAGAAATTCCTGACTCCCTGTAGGGCACAAAGTGTGAACACAAAGATGAGGGAGAAGGAAGACATAGGTGAGAACCTGGAACCTGCAACTCTCTTGCCCATGCCCTGAGAGGCAGCTCTGGTGCTGCTCCCCCTGTTTGCAGGGCAACTGCTCTGCTGGCCCTTGCGTAGGGCTCTGCTTCTTAAGACATTTTCCTCCTCTCTCTTTCCTTTCTCTCAGGTTCCTCACTTAAGGTTTTAAACGCCTCTTGCTGAGGAAAAGAAGGTGGCCTGCTCCCTCTATAGGCTTCCCTGGTTATGGCTTTCACGAACCAGCCATCCAGGGAATCAGAGCTGAATGCTTTTGAAGACTGTCAAAAACGCTGAAGTGAGATGTATTTTGCATTTCTTTTACATTTAGAGATGTTATTTGTGTGTGTACATGTGTGTGAATATGCATCTGTGCGTGTGTGCATATGCCCACACACATTCTCTAACACCTATGTACATAGCTACTTTTCCTGCAAAAGTCACATATGGAGCTTTTTTATGTTTAATTTTAGTCTTTTTTAAGAACAAGTGTGTGATCCTTTTGTGTGAACTTGCTGTTTGTCAATGGTTTATGACAACAACCTCCTGACTGCATCTTGCCCTTATTAGTGGAAGAAGACACCATCTGAGCCAGCGGTTCCTTGAACTCAGGCATTCTTCCTCCCCAGTGCCTTCTATCCCAACTGCTTTTCTCTCCTCTCTGTCCCAGGACTTTGCCTCCTCAGTTGCACCAGCACTGCAATTTCAGGCATCATTCTGGTAAGAAAAGCAACCTAGTCTGTATTAAGGACAACTCTGTAAACAAAAAGCCTATTTGTAATTTGGATCAGCTCAGTGACCTGATTTACAGCACAAACCCAAAAAGAGTTGCAGAGAATTGTGAGTGTGAAGAAGCAGCCGGAGGCAAGGCAGGGATGGGAGACAGACATTCCCAAGCTGTCCTTGCAGCTGAAGTCCCCCTTTTGATAACTATAGCTGCCAGTGTACCTTTGGTCTGGCACAGATATCAAAGGGAATTCCCCTGCACTGCCAGAAGTAGCACTTTAGGGAAAAACTGACACATTGGTGGGTTATATATTAACCATTATAGAGAGTGGCAGTGTGACAAGGCAGTGAGTTACTGATAAAAAAAAATAGCAACATTTCCATTATGCAGAGCATGGGTAATAGCTCCTAGGAAAAAATGACCTAGCTCTTTCCACTAAATTATACTGTTTTCAATTCTTCCATACTTTCTGAAATGTGAAATATTGTTCAGATGTTTTCAATGCTAAATAAATGCCTCTGGCTGGTTTTTTGTGGGTTGCTGAGGGGAGAAGGCAGGAAATGTTTTAGCTAAAATTAATGCAGTTACTTCCAAGGAAGTGTCAGAAGAGCAGCGTACAAGATTTCAGGACTTACAGAAAAAAATAATCGTAGCAGTCATTCAACACTATGCTCAGTTTTTCTTCCCAAGGTCTGACCTTGCTCTGTGTTCAGCATTATCAGAGATCTGCTGCAATGAAGTTTAGGTTCTTATGTCTCCTAGGACACAAATTAATTGCTTTAACTTAAGTTTAAAAGCAGAACCTTGCCAGAGATGACAAATGGGAGTATTATATATCACCAGTTAAATGACTAATGTTTAATTTGTCTTTGAAGTTTCTGGTGAAAGCTGAAGCGTAATGGTGAAAGAAAAAATAATTTAAGTTACATAACACCTCACATATGGAATTGATAATGCTCTGTTTTTATATGGAATACATTGCTCTTCAGTGGTTATACACACACACACACACACACACACACATCTATATATATATATATATATATAATAAAATGAAGATTATTCATTTTATTATATATATATATGTCAAATGGAATTGTGCTGTAGATTTATTCAAGAGATTCAGGAGATTTAAACTTTTTGACTGAACATGAGATTTTTTTTTATAGAATATCCTTCTTTTGGTCAATGTATTCCACTACTTAATGAAAAGAACTCTGTTCATGTTTCAAGTCACTTATTTGGTTATCAAGAGACAGTTTTTGGCCTAACCAACCCCCCCCCCTTTTTTTTTTTTTTCCCCAAAGCACTTCTTATATCAGGAGCAAAAGATTTCTTTAAAGTTGTATGTTTGGAATTGAATTGCGTGGAATTTATGTAGTCAAGGCTTTAAGCACCCTTACATAATGAATAATATAACCAAAATCCCTGAGGTCTTTTTATTAGGAACTCAGCTAGACAGGCACTAAAAGACACCCTTTTTCTATTCCCAGTACTATGGGAAGTATACTCTGCACTTGACAAAGTGAAATAAAAAGGGATTCAGATAACAAAAGTCTATTCCCAGTACTATGGGAAGTATACTCTTGCACTTGACAAAGTGAAATAAAAAGGGATTCAGATAACAAAAGGATGGTAATAAATACTAATGCATACAGGAGAGTTGAGGGTAGGCCATGTTCAGGGCAGGATATTGCTCAAGTGTGTTTGGGAAGGGAAGTACTGACAGGGATTTCCTCCCAACCCCTTAGATCTGCTAACCTCTTCATGTGAGTTAGGGTTGCCCTGGCATGTGGAGGCTGCATCTCCTTTCATCCCACCCTGACCTCTTGAAGAAAACAGAGGCATGAGTAAGGGAGATGAATGATTTTTCTTAAATAGCTGGTGCTGGCTGCCAAGGAGGCAACCTGTGACAGGAGAAGAGCGGTGAAAGGCAAAAAAGGGTAGTCAGGATTAGGTCAAAAGAAAGGCTAAGCAAAACCAGAGAGAGAAACATTTAGGCAAAGACTTAGCCCAGGGATGAGTGAAGCAGAGTTTCAATGGGATTGATAAAATCCAGGATGCATGTGTACTTAGGAATAGTGTAATTGTTGTTTGGATGCAAGGGCACTGTATGTATACTGGCACTGTAGATACTGATCACTTCTAAGCTGGTGCCAGAGGTCTGTCACATACACCAACTTGGAATCGCTGCCAGTTTTCTGAGTACAGTGTGTCCAGATGATTATTACAAGTCTGCAGTAAGAAGCACACGAGTTATGCTTCTATTTAATATTCAGACCCCAAGAAAAGGGCAAAGAAATGTAGGTCTTTTATATAACAATTTTGATCAGTCTTATCAGAAAAAAAAAAAAAAAAGGAAAAAAAAAAAAAAAAGCTTTGTACTTGCCCATAAATTAAACACCTGTTGTGGTTAAAATACAACAATGTCAATTTCTGCTTGTTGGAAATGTTTTGCATACAGTCTTTTGCAACATCATTTCTCCTCACAGGAAGAAGACCGTGAGACAGCCCAACATTACCTTTCAGATGTCATCACACTACTGTATTGCACCACCAGGGTGTTGCAAAGAATGCCTTACAACGTGGATCTACCCAAACTTAACGAGGCTTGGGAGTGATATATTTGTTTCAGTATGCATGACCTCATCTTCAAAGGAAGACTAACATTATCAAACTTAAGATGATGGAAAGGGAGGAGTTGGTTAAAATTCATTTCAGCAACAATAAGATTGAATTAAAAAAAAAATTCATTATTGTCATTGCCCTCTTTGCCAGTTCTGCATGTAAGTGTTCATTTTACTTCAGCAGATGCAATCTCAAAAAAAATCAGGATGAACTAATTTCTCATGTGTGTGCCAAAGCAACGTCAGAAAGTGGTAGTTAGTATGTCTGTTTGGGCTGCTCAGTGGGGCCATGAAGATCATGCTTTGGGCTGGGGGCTGGCACCTGTGACTGCAGAGCGGAGGAGGGAGCTGCCAGTAGCTGCCAGCAGCTCTGGTGTCAGACTCATGCAAAGCATGACTAAAACAATGCCACTTCTGAATACAAAATTCCTCAATTTCTTTCTTGCTCTAGTGAGAAGAGCTCTGCAGATGTGGAGACAGGGACAAAAGCAGCCAGTATTTCCTCTCTTTCTACATGCTAGTCAGCCCTGTTCATGGGGCACTGGCTCATCTCTCTGGCTTCTGAACTGAGAAAAGAAGATGCTCCTCTTCCAAGTAACTAATGAATCATCCCTTTTAGTACATAGCATGCATGACTGCATTGTTAAAAGCAGTCTTAATCACTCACTGAGAAAAATGTTACTGATCATTTCTCCCTTTCAGTTGTTAAGTGGAAGCCTTGGGAGTTGTGACTCACAGCCCTTGTGCTGTGGCAAGCCCAGAAAGACTTTAGTAGATTTTTAGATAACTGTAGGAACCCTCTGCATCTTATTCCTCACATCTTCCTAGTATACATATAATTTGGAAAAATGGTAGATTTCTTAGTTTTATATTATTCTAGAAATCACTGTTTTGCAGATGGATTTGGCCTGAACTATACACCAAAATTCAGTGAAGAGAAGGATTTGTGGTAGGCAACTGTCTTGTAGCAGGGGATAGGGCAAAACAGCTTCTGGGCTGGAGGAAGCCCACCCCCCCCATTTTGCCTTTAGCTCTGTAGTGGTGTTGGACATGCTGTGCATACAGCACTTCACCCTGGTTTATGAGCATAGGACTATGTCAACAGAACAGTAAGGAAAAAAAAGTATAAGAGTAAATTGTAAGGTTCTTGAGAGCTTTCTGGTAAGAGAATGAATGGGTATGAGGTAAGAAATAAATTGTCTTGTTTACTTGGAATTGACAAAGGCAGAGAAAAGTGAATAGGTAAGATGTTTTCAATGTGATGTGGGAAAAAATGTATCTGTAGCTATTTTAAATGTAGACAGATATACTGATTCCCCTACTTGTGGATTAACTGCATAAAAAATACTAGGGTGAAGGATTATTATTAATGCCAAATGATAAAGTTTTCAACTGGTTCAGGTTGCCATAGTTAGGACAGTCTATACCCTCTTAAATCAGTCTTTCTATGTTTGTATGTCTATTATATGAGTATAATATAGCTGTAATCTATTATTACATACAACTTATTTAATTGAATCTTTCCCTTGTTCATTTCTCCACAAAAGCAAAAGAAACTACAGGGCCTCCATGGACGGTGAGGAGAAATAAGACATGTAGGGACAGTTCTAGTAGTGAGTGATTGAAGCATGTTTGTTGTTATAATTTTTTTTCTGTTATTTCCCCTAAATAACCTTTCTCATTCATTCTGAACAAAGAGCTTTCCCATGTGCCCCTTCTTGACACTACATGACATATTGGTGGTCAGCAGGTCCTCTGTTCTCCCACCACAGCCTTCCTTAGCTTCTGGAAAATGAAATCAAACTCTGCTGTGAGCAGACACTTAGGAGGCAGGGGTAAGAGGGTAAAAAGGCACCCAACTAGTGATTAATTGCATGATGATACTAAAACCCATGCATTACAAAACTTCATCATGTTTAAATCTAGCTGGGAACAAAGGTGATGTAAAATAATGTATGATAATAGTTTTCTTTCAGCACCTTTGCCTAGCACCAGATAAGTAGCATTTTGTTTCTTGGGCTTTCATTGTTGGGAAAAGTATTGCCATTGGCTGTAGGTCTTAAAAATAGCCTTTGATATACGGAAAGGAAATGGGATTTATTTTGAGAAAGAATCTTGCCCTGCTGGTGTATTGCTTGATGAATGTGGTCACTTGATGGAAGCACGCTGTCATGGGGGAACAGCCCTTGGGATCTGTTCCTGTGTCAGCTCAGCTCTCAGAGAATGACAGAAATAATTGTGGAGGAAGCAGATGTTCTCAGTGGTATGATAAAGCAAGAACAGACAAGAAGACAGTTGAGAAGAAGGGCATGCTAAAGACCATAGCAAAACTGCATTTGGAATCTTCAAAGAAGGATTCAGTGAGATTCAGTGAGAGCAGAGATTTAGAGTGAGCCTTGCCCTGGTGAAAAGCCGAGAAGCTCCAGAAGCCTCCCCAGCCGTCACAGGCTGTTGAGGGTTCACATTTTGTGGGATGACCCTACAGATGCAGAGGAGTGTAACTTGTAGAGCTCAAATACCAGTTATTCTCTGAATGGGATCTAAAGGATCCTAAAAATTCACGGAGAAGCAAAATTCTAGATTTACATAGTTTTGTCTGGGGAGGAAATAGCCTGGACCTTGACAGCTGAAAGTGGACAAACCTGCTATAATAATCTGTAACAGTTTTTGCAATTCAAAGATAGTTATAGTAGCCAGTACTTGTTCTTTGTGAGCAGCAGACATCAGGATACCAGTATCTTTAATAAGAAACTGCAATTTGAACTTCTGACTGCGACAAGAGTTTGAAGTCTCTTTAATACTCTTAAAATATATTTCAGTTTAATAACCTCATTCAGCATCAATTTTTGCTTGGATCTGAGAGCACCTTTTATTATCTGCTATTTCTTACATTTATAAGAATAGTACTTAAACATCAAAAGAACCTTTAAAAAAACAAGCTGTTTGGATCACTTCAGTAAATTGCTGTCGATTTCTCTCGGGGTTCTGATGGGTCAGGGTGACTTGAGAGATCATAAAGTCTTTTCTTTTCCAGCCCGACGCCAAAGAAGGAGCCTGGAATGCTTCCAATTGTGTTTTTAATGTTGTTTATTTTTTCTTAGCTATAACATTCTCTCTCTGACCTGCTGAGGTCTGTCCAGAAAGGACGCCATGGCAGTCTGCCCTCGAGCCTTGCGGGGCTCCCACCTTATATACTCAAAACTACGTGTCTACATTTACAATTTCTTTACCAATTCCTGACATCCATGTTAGACTCTGAATTGCCACCCTGAACCAATAGAAAAGGGTCACCATCACACCAAGACATGGAGGATAAGAAGAAAGGAAAGAAAGCTAGGACGCACACAAATTCCTCCATCTTGTACCCCCTTGAACCCCATTCTAAAAAATCCCAAAATTCTACTTTTCCACCTTGTGTTAGTTCAAATATCACACTACTAAAACCCTTGTGACTTGTAATTCCTCATCCAGAGTTGGCAATTTTCCATGGGCTAAAATTGAAGCCACAGCTGTTTTTGACTTCATGCCAGGGTCTCAAGACAACCAGGGCAGCCAGAGGGATGTCCTGGACTCCGACAAATTGCTTATTGCTACTAATTTCCCACCACT